TTTTGTAAGGTTACAATTTCCTCTCCAATGGTTCGCAGGGTACTTGTAGAGAGGGCGGTTCTTGAAAGCATCGGTCTTGAAGCTCCTAGGAAAGCATCGGCTCCTAGGGTCCTCTCAGAATATTGGCTTGAGTGTTGTAGGGCAGTTCTTCCTCAAAATTTCGGTTAAAAGCGGCCCATAGGGCATTTTTTGAAGTATTGGTGTGTAAGAAGCTCGGAGTGTAGGTGAATTATCGGTCTATAAACCCATATAGCATTCTTAGGACATCGGTTTGTAAGCGGACGGTGTCAATTTCATCCCAGAATATAGGTTTGTAGCGGCTCGAAGGGCAGTTCTTCTAGAATTCTTTGTAGGAGGCCCCCATAGGAAAGTTTATTCTTCAAAATTGGCTTGTAGAGGTTTACAGGGTAGTTCTCCGAAAATATTGATCTGATGAGCGACCCAATTTTCATTCAGAAAATTTCAATAAATTTCGGCCAGTAAGCGGCTCTTATGGCTATGTCTCTTGAATATGAGAGGATCTTAGGGCAGTTCTTGATGGAGGGCGTGCAGGATCCTCCAAAGACCCGCCGCTTCTTCTCTAGGTGCGCCTTTAGGAGGCAATAATCCCTTCGCGCCTACCTCGCGCTTATGTCGCACTTGTCTCGCACATACCTGCGATAGTTCGCCTACAGACAAGCGTCTTGTTCCTCCTGGCTTTAATCAGAAAAGGTCATTGATTGAACGAGGATTTTTCAATGATAACAAGATATGAAGATGTGAAACTCTCAGTATTCAACAAACGGGGGTGAAACACTAGATAACCTCAGTCGAAGCATTTAGAAAGGTTGTTGTTTTCGTAGTCTGAGAGGTCACCGCAGCAACGATTTATCAGTAAGAAACAAAAAAAAACGAAAATCAAGCAGACTGATAGACAAATATTCGGTTGGCAGAAGTTTTGCGAGTATATTCGTTACCTCTCTTTTTGGTTGTGAGCATTCATCTTTGGATATAATGTAGTTTAGGTAGTATAGAAATTGCTCAAACAGCTTGATTTTTGATAGCGAAGCGGGGTGAAAGGGGCATTTTGCGAAAGCTGACAAAATTTTGAGGGTCGGAAATCAGAGACTCCTCAGAATCTCGATAGGTTTCGGTTTATGCATTTGGTTTGGACTGAGAACGGCTGTATTTTTGGTTTTCGGACCCTTGAATTTCGAATTTGGCAAATCTTCGAGGAAAAAACAGAATTTTCCTCACTTCACTTTTTTGGTTGATTTCTCTCTTAGATGCCATGTTTCTGCGAAGCTTCCTTCTAGGAAATTGAGCTTTTTTATTGCCAAATTGAATACATCCCGAGCTGCAAAATAATTCCTACCAAAACGATGCAGACTCAGATAAAATTCCTGTTAAGTATGTACATACTCTGATGTCATTCGTATGTTTTCAAGTGTTTCCTGGCCATGCTACTGTCCACACTTTTTTCTTTCTCGGCTACCTTTCATTAATAAATGCGAAAAGCTCATAACTTCCTTTGGGGAAACGCTTCGCAGATTTAAAAGTCAGCGTTTCGAACTCTATATATTGGTATGCATCAACTTCCAACTTGCCACTTCAGCCAGGTAACTCCTGGCAAGAGGCACTTTCATTGTCAGTCTACTTATTGTTTATTAGTTCCCACAGTTTTTTCCTTTCTTGTTATCATTGAAGAATCACTGTTCACGAGGTGAACCTTCTAATTAATGCTAGGAGAAACAAGACGATTGTCCGGAGGGGAACTATCGCAAGAATGCGCGAGACAAGTGCGAAGTAAGCGCGAGGTAAGCGCGAAGAGATTATTGCCTCCCAAGGGCGCGCCTGGAGAGGAAGCGGCAGGCCTTTGGAGAATCCTGCAACGCCGCCGTTCTTGATATTGCTCTGTAGGTTCGCTGGCAGTTCTTTTTCAAAAGCGGCAGTCTGTAAGCGGCACGTAGGGCATAAAATCTCAATAAGTGTGATGGATAAGCTGCCCCCTGGGTCCTCTTCTCAGAATATTGGGTTCTGAAGGCTTACAGTCCAGTTCTTTTCACAATTATTGGTTTGCAGCCCACAAGCAGTGCTTCTTTCAAATATGTGTGTGGCCTGCACAGAGCCTTTGTGAATAACACTTTGTTGGAAGAGGGGGTGGGGGAAGGAGTGGGGGAGGGAGGCAGTAAGGCAGTCCTTATTTAGAATAACGGTCTATGAGCGACCCAGTGTGGTTCATAGGGACATCCTAAAAACGGCCCACAGGGTAGTCCTTCTATACAATATCAGTTCGGAAGGTATGGTTTGTAGGATATTTATGCAGTACTTTTATTCTTATGGACATAGGAAAGCTTTTTTTCGTTAAAAGTTTGTAATGTTGGGTTCTTTTGAACCCAAATGAATTTGCCACATTCACTCCCAATCATAGCCACGATATCCGCCATTGCAACTTTGAAGAAACTCATTATTTCTTCCGAATCTTTCCGGAGCAATGGTTCTGCGTGTATGAGAATGTGTGACTGCCTAAAATGAAAATTAAGGAGAAAAACGATGTGAAATACTCAAACAACAACAACAGGTTAAAGGACGGGCATGCTGTGAGCTGGGATTACCCCGCGAGCTGCAGCCTACTGTAAAGCTGGAAAGGCTTCAAAAAGGCACGCCCGCGATGGTGTAAATGCACGAAACGGGGCTGTCGTCAACGAATATCCTTTAGGGTTTCTGAAAACGAAGTCTCCCCTGACTTTGGGAAGTTTCACGAAGTCCTCTTTAACCTACCTACTTAGGAGAAGATGAAAACAAGAAATATTTACTAGTCTGAAGGAAAAAAACGTGAGATAAGTGTGAAAGTCCAAATTGGAGCTGAATGCCACGCATGCTCAAGAGTTTGGCATTGGAGCGCGATATCTAATAAAGCGATTTATGAAGAAATCAAGGCAAGAAACAAAGAAAGGCAATGATATGAAAATTTCTTCATGCTCAGGGATAGATTTTTGACTGGGGAATCCGGCCATGATAGAAAAGTCCGAACCTTATGTGACGTGGTACAAATATATGCTCCAGACGATCCCAGATCGTCTGGTGACCGTCTGGAGACGGACTATTTTGGAAAAGGTAATGCTGTTTTCGAATCTTTTTGCATAATTTTTTTGCAAATATTAGGTTGGTCCGAAAGTTCTTGCGCATCATTTTCAAAAAATCACAACTTCCTTTATACTCGATGGATTTCGTTGAAATTATACCTGTTCGAAAGAGGAATCCATGTTCTTTACAGCTGCACCTTCGCCATGAATTACTTTGAGAAACTTCGAGAGTTACAAGCAATTGAATGAAATCAGTCAAAATTGGCATTTTTCGAGCTGGGTCACGAAAAATTCTGGAGGTATTTTTGTATGATAGAGAAAATTATGCTCATTACAATGGTACTCTTCTGATAAGATGAAACGAAAAATATCGAAAGTTAGGAGTAAATGGAGAGAATTCCTTCAGTTTTGTAATTTTTGAGCATGGTCAAAAAAGCCCAGAAACGTCACAGAAAATACGAAAAAATCATGAGCATGGGTTTTCTAACCTTCTCTGTCTAGCTGAGCGGAAATCGTGTGCTGATCGAGAGCAATTTTAATTTTCGTAATTTTTTCGGATTTTCGTGCCTGCATTTTTCACGAAAATCAAAATTGCTCTCGATCAGCACGATTTCCGCTCAGCTAGACAGAGAAGGTTAGAAAACCCATGCTCATGACTTTTCCGTATTTTCTATGACGTTTCTGGGCCTTTTTGAGCATGCTCAAAAAATGCAAAGCTGAAGTAATTTTCTTTATTTGCTCCTAAGTCTCGGTCTTTTTCGTTTCAACTCATGGGAAAAGTACCGTTGTGATGAGCATAATTTTCTCTATCATACAAAAATACTTCCAGAATTTTTCGTGACCCAGCTCGAAAAATGCCAATTTTGACTGATTTCATTCAATTGCTTGTAACTCTCGAAGTTTCTCAAAGTAATTCATGGCGAAGGTACAGCTGTAAAGAACATGGATTCCTCTTTCGAATACATGTAATCCCAACGAAATCCATCGAGTATAAAGGAAGTTATGATTTTTTGAAAATGATGCGCAAGAACTTTCGGACCAACCTAATAATATTCTATGTATACAGTTCAATTTTGGTGTCATATGATACTGTGTGCGCTGTAAACAAGCAGTTTGTTTATTCTAGCCTTGCTTTCAGAACGCGACCACTTTTCGTCATACCGATGGAGCATTCAATCGTGTGATAACCTGTCCGAAAAGCTTGTGTTCGATTGAATGGCGCTTATTCTTCTTCTATTCTCAAAAACCATATCTCCTTTGCTTTTTGCTCCAAAAACGAAGTCCAGCTGCTTCCAGACGACCTGCGCCGGGCCCCGAGATCCTCTCAAATTTCTTGAATGGTAACCGATGTAAACAATTTAAAATCTCTCTTTGACCAGCTCATCTGCGTATCTGTGTCAAAGATCATACAAGTATTTCGTATCCTGCACAGAACTTGTGTACGTTCTTGAAAAAAAGGTTTGCAAATACTAGAGAAGAGTTTTGATAAACATTCCCAAATTTGTTCTGTTTTTTTAGTCTTTTCAAAGCTCTGCATTTGTGTATGTATACCATGAAGTTCATTTTCTTTGCTGCTGAAATAGTTATTACCATCTCGCCTCTCGAGTCACAGTTGCGGATAGAAAACATTACATCTCGCTGCGTGCCTAGTCTTGCTTTTCTTTGAATCAGCACGTTCTAGAAATTTTCGCTTTGGAGAGCTGAGGAGATAAATCACCACAGATATACAGAGTTTACACTTTGTAATGCAAATGAATTATAAACCTAGATGAGTTGCGCTTGAGCGCAATTACACTCAGAACCGTCCACGTTTCTCAAAGCAAAGTTGAATAAAAACAATTTGGTTATTCAGAGATTTTGGGTGCAGAATTTGGTCTCGAGAGTTCACGATGTAATTTCTTCGGTGATATCGCATCAAGTATTTCATATTTCAACAATGCTTAAGCATTTATCGAAATACATAAGAATTTTTCGGGCTACTGAACACACTATTGATTACAAAGCTCACTTCATATCATGGACAAAGGTAATAAAGAAAAGAATGTATCACTTCGCTAAACGCAATGCAGACGTTGGGATGTGTAAGGGATACTGGTCGTAGGGGCTCTCCCATATGACGAAACAACCAGGGAGACTGCCAGAAGGCTGGAAAAACTAAAAGATTTTCTAGAAGAGAAGTATACATACTATAGCGCATACTCCCGATGTCACTTTCCCTTTCATGAAGCGCATTTGATACTTCAGTGCTGAGCAATACTCATCCTTGGGTGTCCCATCTCGCGACTTCGAAAATTGCGGAAACAGACATTTTGGGTCTACAGTGTGCGAGTACGCACAAAGTGCGCAGCTGGGTCTGTCAAAAGCCCTTGAAAAAGTTACGCTACGGTATAAATTTATTCAATACATTTTCCATTCAAACGCATGCATTTTTGCAGAGACATAAGACTAAGTATAAAGAAAACAACTTTTTCTTACATGGCGAAAACCTTCCAGTACGATTCGATAGCGCTTTCCTTCCATTTTACTTGAACACCAGTATGAAATTTTTCGGGCAAGCACTTTTCGACGAGCTCGGGCAGATAATAGAACTAAATAACATCTTAGGAATTGCTCCTTCTTTACAAAGGCAGACCTCAGCTTCCCTCCGAAGTGCTTCTCTGGCATCATCGTCAGATGGAGGAACAAATCGCTCGTCATCTCGTAGATAATCCAGTACCTAAACTGAGAAACTTCGCACTAAGACTGCGAATCAGTTTTCTAACTTTGGCAAAAAGCAGGGGATTTCTATCTATGAACAATTCGTGCCCATTTTGTATTTCCTCGGTCATCATAGCGGAGAGCACCTTCAAATATCAAATGATAGTGATGAACGCGAAAACACGCTCTAACTTACACTGTCATTCACTTTTGTGAGAGTGGAAAGGTGGGTCTCAAAAACTGTACCTCCAACGTTGATTTTCACACGCATGTATTTGGGAGATGGGATTTTGTCTCCCTGAAGATTTTTTTTTTCATTTGCTCAATTTGCACAGTAGCCAGGTGACATAATTCATGTAGTCATTGCACAAGAAGAGAAAATGAACAGTACTAATCATCAAACCTACTATGTTTATGGCCGCGTGGAGCTGATGAATATCGACGAATGAGTCATGGAAACCGCGCAGATGTTCTTGTGAACGAGCAAATGACAATGAAATTCCAGAAAGAAGCGATGAAAGATCTTTATATTAGAAGACTCTAAAAACTTGCATAATCTTTACCGTAGAAGTCACATTTAGTCTGGAAGAAGCACCCATGGATGTTTTGATATACCCATTACCACTCTCCCCCCCCCCCCTTTACAGTTCTTTCTACATTTTTCTCATCAATTTCTAGAATTCTAGAGCGTAGCCCCTGCCTGCTTGTGCCCAGCGGCTAATTTCAGGAACAGAAAACTGAGAGCGTCCCTTGAAACATTAGAGAGTAATGATTAGCCAATCTTTCAAATCTACGAAACAAGCAACCTCTTTTTCTAGAATGAATTGTTCTTGGTGGGCGAAACTATTAAAAGTGCTCAAAACCAATGAAAAACAAGCAAGCTGCCGTTTCCAGGCAGTGCCCAGGCAGAAACTCGATTGTTTTTGATCATGTTCACATGTCTCAGATAGCTCCCACGGTCGTAGTTGCTGTGAATCCCCAAATTTCCTTTATTACAGTAATCCCCCAATAAAGACATTATACGAGTACGGAATAAGTATATTTCCATAATTTGGTAAACATCCTGACAGGCAGTTGTCACGCAAAGTTCAGCGAAATGTAAGATGAAGTTTTAAGATCCAGTTGTTAGTAGTAATAGCGGTTTAGAGCTATGGAGTGTTTCCTATGAGAGGAAAGTATCACCAGTATAAAGAAAGCAATTAGTATATCGAAGCGAAAGATTCGATTTTACGTCGTATGACTCAGTGGTCAGTCCGCAAGTCCGCTTCCAGCTGCAGAGAGTTCCAGTCTGAGTGTCACAGTCGGCGCAGCTATGGTCCTCGCGAGTCGCCTCGCTTGGGTCTCTCGCCGCGTTCGCCCTCAATGGTTACGGTATTCTCTCGCGCTCAAGGCTTTGGAACTACCGTACGCTCAAGGATCAATGGCTGACATATTGCCTGAGACACTTTTGCGAACGCGTCGAGTGGCCCAATCAAGGCGGCTTATGAAGACCCGAGCCGCGTCGACCGTGACACTCAAACTGAATCCTCCGTAGCAGAACTACTCCCTTGCAGATTTTGTCTATGCAAAGCACATTCTTTGGTTTTTACCGTATACGTTGTTTTAATCAATATGGCTTGATCTTTGAAGTGCCCAAAGAACACCACTAAATAAAAATCAACAATGAATACTCTGGATTCATGTCCGTACACTGCGCTGACTAAACCTAGCCAGTGAGACGAGATTCCAGCGAGATCTAAGATCTGAATCTTTTACGGAATACGACTTTCGACCGTTGGTCGAAAGTTCAACGGTCAACTTCCGTTGGTCGAAAGTTTATCCAAATACCAATGAGGACTTTGCTAATCCAAAATCTTGAAAAATTGTCTTTTGTTTCTCGCAGTGAGGCGAGAAAAAGGAAAATTTTCGTTCGTTCAAAGGATCGCTGAGGGATGCCTGATGAAATGTACAGCTTTATTTGTACAACTTTATTAACATGACTGCAGAAATTAAACAGATTTTATTCTTATTCTAAGAATATAAGAAATAGAATATAATATAATTCTTATGCTAAGAATATCGTGTTCTGTTACTTGGATCTTATGTGGATTACTTGAGAACCATTGGCTGATTCTTGGTAATAAATGGCATCAGCACAAAGCTGGTCAAAATAAATGTGGCTGTTTACACAAAAGAAAATCCACGGCTAGTTTGCCAATCGTAGTGCAGATTGCGTGAAATGATGTGTACGCCATCCAACGTCCCATTCTACAAAGCAGCAAGTCTCTGATTCAAGCTGCAAATCCTCATTTTTGAATAAACAACAAGTTTCTTAATTTTAAAAATTGCATTACCCCCTTCACAGATCCTTTCATGAATCGCATTTCATGCTTCACATGCATCCACTTTTCGCCTTCGGAGCTGTCTGGACTTTCGTACAGACGAAGCGATCTACGATCCACAATCAAAAGTTCATTGCGGCCACACATAGAATTTTTGATATAATCATTTAGTGCCCTAAAAAACGACAGTTGAAAGAGAGACCATCTTGACGATAAGAGAAACTAGGTGCTATTTTATTAGTTGCTCCAAAAAATGAAAATCGCGGATTCTAGAACTTTGTCTAAAGCGATTATTTTGCACGTTGATTACCACAGTAGTGCCATCTGGTGGAGTTACGGTAGGATTACGCTAGGGGGTCAACATCAAGAAATTGCCCCAAACTTCGTCTAGTGGGTATGTTTAGCAAGCTGAACATAAAAAATCATATTCATTTCCTACGCAGCGCATCTGGGTTATGGCGGGTGATGATAGATTGCTAAAAATCCCGAATTTGTATAAAGCTTTGCCTAGAGAGGTTCCTAAGTATGCTCATTACGAATATCATGCTTCTTGCGTCTTGGAAACTTTTCCACGGACTTAAGATATCTGTACGGTTAGTGGCCAATATGATAGATCTGCTCCAATCTTTGTGCAGGTGTGTTGTCCAACGTGCTGATCCGGTATATCGCACTAGTCTCTCGCACAATAAAGCCTTTTCTTGGACTTCTAGGATCTAAGTGGGTTGAAAAGCGGAATGGTTGCTCTTTCGCGCATCGTAACTCTACCAGTAAGGCATTGCTACAGCGAACCAGCATGATACTATCTGCAACCAACATGCTCACGAACCCCTTCAGGCAAGGTTTTGAGCACATTCGGGATTTTCAGCCATCTACCGCACGCGCATCGTAATCAGAAGAAATGGCGCATAATACGGAATGAATATTGTATTCATAACTAGTTGACTCTATTTTTTTCATTTCTTTATACTTTAATTAAATGTTCGGATAAAATGAGCTTTTCTAGTGTTTGCGCTTGAGAAAGTTTGTAAAGCACCTTGTGTTAATTCAGATCTAGCAGAAGCGGTGGTGATTCTTTCAATCACAAAACATAACATAGAAGTTGTCGATCCACACAAGTTCCAAAATCTATCTGTGAATTTTACGTATTCAAGAATATCTTATCTTGCAAATTTTCATACTTAGAACTTATCCAACTCTTCATGCATGCACTCTTCAGGTGACTGAATTCTTGTAATATATCAACCGTAGGCAGTGGCGTACCCAGGATTAAAAAGGGGGCGTGGCGTCAGCCACGCCCCGAAAAAAATTTTTTTATAAGGCTAATTTGATTTTTTAAAAATTTTTCAAAAATATTCAAATTATTTACAATTATGAACACGTCATTTACACAATTTTATAGCTCATGTAAGCAACTTTCAAAAATTTCGCGACCCGTTCTCGGGGGGGGGGGGGGGGAAGCGTTTCGAAAATTCCTTTCTTTGTTGATTTTAATCTCACTGATCCAAATTATTGAACTAATTTTCATAAGCTGGAAAGAAAACTCATTAATAACATGGCAGCAGAGGAAAGAAGGGATATGTGTTCAAAGATCCTAACAAAAGGAGAAAGCGTTTATTTTGCTATTCGAGAAATTCGGCCCACACCTTTCAAGATAGATCCTTCTGACGTTGAGAAAGTAATCGATTCCCAACACTTATGTTCGCGGACTTACTCAGAACTGCTGATACCAAACTAGTTTCATCTGATGACCAGCATTTGCCGATTGGTCAACTAGATTCTCTAATACTTCGAGATTAACCGAATTTTCTATATAAGAAATTGTGTGCAATTATCTCTTCTAAAAGAACTGTTCAAATACCACTTGAAAATTTTGATAGAAATTTGAGCGTATGCTGCCTTCAAGATGTGCTCTTCTTGACTCTATAGGCTTGCCTCGACATCTCTCACCTAGCGATGTGTTTCCAATATGCTTCTATAGCGGTCTCATTCCACTGCACGCAATCACCTACATGGAAACCCGGGGAGCACAATTCGGCAAGGCCAGGAAGATTGTAGAACTGCAAGTAGCCAACACACTACATAGTTTATAAATATGGATCTCACCTCAGCTTCCCTTCGAAGGCTCTCTCTAGCTTCAAAATCCGCAGGAAGAATAAAATTGTTTCCATCTCTCAAGTAGTTCAGTATCTGAAACACAAATTTTGCTAGATTCTCTGTTGGGGAAACTGGCTTGCATGGTACTTTTTCAAAGTGCGTTGGGCTTCGATCCACAAACAATTCCTCTTGATTCTGCCAACGATCCGCAACCATAGTAGAAAGTACCTTTGAAGTTTCATTTATTAGCTGAAGGATTGGGAAATTCGAAAAAATCAGAACTGACAGTATTATCCACTCTTGTCAGGGTGGAGATCGTAGTCTCAAAGATAGTTCCACCCACGTTGATTTTCACGCGTCCATGACATTTCAAATGATCGCTTCTCTCCTAAAATAGGGTCATTTTCATCGCTAATCAGCATGTAAACATGAGTACGCAAAAATTACCTCGGTCGATGACATTATCCTCAGAACGTCAGCTCACTGACTGCACACATAGGGACTACGACTACTAGCAAACAAAAGCACTTTGAAGTGGTCCCACCACGAGAGTCTGTTTCTCAATCATCGCGGTCTCACAGTGCGAAACTTTCTCATAAAACATGAAACAGGGCTGCATATGCAACTGTAGGACTATACCGCAGCGGAAAGGGGAACGAACTCCGCCAATTGAACCGCCTCCGCGACTACTGGTCCCTGCAACGACATGCAGCAGTATAGCAAAAGAACCAATTGCCAGCGTACTAGGCGGGCTAAGACTGGAGGAGTTCGTTCCCCTACCCTAAGGCAGCTGATAAATTCTTCACAATTCTGAAATTAATGAGAGCACTTAAAATGAAGATCATTGTCATGAGACTACGCATCGTGTAGAATAAGGTTGACCCTTGCTTCTTAGAAGGCGCTTCTTCTTTTCGCAAACTTGATCTTCAACTTACCAATCTGGCCCCAAGAAACTTTTCATATAAGTAAAAAGCTTTGCGGGTGAGTTACAACATTTTTTGTGAAAGTTGGTGTAATCAGATGACTCTTATCGTATACAGAATCGCTGCTTGTAAGCGATTTAGGCGTTTGTAGTGGTCTCGTTTGAAAAGTGTGACTACTGCATATTCACATCAGCAACATAGAATGGTTTGCAAAGACTTGCATCGGTTCAGCTGCAAGCAAATTGTGAAGAAACATAACAGGATCTGTTTCTTGCAAAACCGCCAATATGATATTCCAACGCTTTCATACTTGATCAATCCTCTGTAGATTTATACTTGAGTAGTTCAAAATATCTAAGTTTTGAACGTATAAAAGATTACTCAATTCTTCTAAGATAGAAGGCAAACATTCTGCGAGACTTCGGGACGTTTCTTAGCGGTTTTCGCGGTACGGCTAAAAAATCTATGCGAATCAACGTAATGCTTCTGTTAGCCATTCTGCACTGTCTCTTTCTTTCGAGAGGGGAGGGCGGAGGAGGGGAAAGATTTAGGGCAGAACGGGCCGCGAAATCCTTGAAAGTCACTTACATGAGTTATAAAAAACTACTAGCGACTACATTTGTAAAAACGGTACGTCATGGCACATTACCTGTTCTGAGCTGGTGGAAAAGTGATAAGGCTCAAAAATCTTCTTGCTTACAAATGCTACTGTCCAAGATACAGCGGTCGAGTACTCTGTAGCCTTTTTCACTGGCCACAGTCATTATAAGAGATTTGAAAGGCTTGACCGTTCTGCTAAGATTAAAGGCGGTGTCCAAGCAAGAAGTCAATTACGGGGTTTCGTGCTTACCTGGGTCAATTTGCTACGCTAAATCCGAAAATTAACACTAAAGAGCGCGAGAACGGTGAAAAAAAGCTCTAACGGAGGAGGGAAATTGCAGGTGGGCGGAGCTGTTCACACAGTGGCGTCATTCTCCCAGCTTCAGGAGCAATCTTCTCGCTTCCGCTAGTCACCCTAACATCACCACCAACCAACTGCGAAACGCATGACATAAAACCGGGTCCGAGAAGATCGCTCCCAGAGCCTGGGAGAGTGACGTCACGGTGTGAACGGCCCCGCCCACCTGCGATTTCCCTCATGCGTTAGGGCCTCTTTTGGCGTTTTCGCGCTCTCCATTGTGGTTTATCGGATTCAGCACGGCGAATAGGCCCGGGCAAGCATAAAATCTCAAAATCGACTTTTTGCTTGGACGCTGCCTTTAACGACAAACAAGCGAAGCGTTTCGTAAGAGGCATCGTCCACAGGTTCGTGCTGGCGCCGTGCGTGAACGTCGATCGATCAATACAGGGCGCGTTCACGGATACCGACAAGGCGATAGCACGGCTCTGGCATGATGCTGGAATATCTTCGGCACAAAAGTAACGTCAGTTAGGGCATCAGTATAAGTACGCCAGAAATTTGGAGATGTCTGCGAGCACCTCCCAGAACATCTCATCACTTCTATCTCGGAAATTACTTTTGAATTCTATAATTGTTGATCGGGTTTAACCATTTGAAGGAATAATGTTTGACAGTATAATTTGGCTCGATCACACTCCAGGTAGTGCGCCCTACTTCTGGTTTATGCTGCATAAGCATAAAATGCCACCTTTTAAGTGGTAGGACAATGGTGCTAAGGAAGTTGTGTACTCAAAGCAACTTTTCTTCTCACTTTGACCACTGTAATCTTTTCTAAAGCTGCAGAGTTCTCTTACTGACCTTATTTGTTGCCTTCAGACTGGTCCATAGGGCATTGCTAGAAGATGAAAGTCGTCTAGGAACATTGCTCACGCACTACGCCACAGGGCTCTACCCCTTAGCCGGCTCGGAGAAATTGCAACTGCGGGCTTTCCACAGTCACATGACCTTCTGGATCCGGTAAGCCCGGGACTGTGCTTAAAAAGTCAAAAAAGTCTTTTTTGGCGTATTCTGGCCTTGGAGGTTGCTGAGCGGGCCGGGCGAGCGATCCCCGCCCAAAAACAGCGACTGGCTGGGAAACTGTAGCTCCATCCATTTCGGCGGCAATTGGCTGATCGACTCAGGCAGCCAATCGCGAGACAGTCGGCGATCGCTCGCCCATCCCTCGAGCAATCAAGACCGGAATACGCCATGCACTTTTTTGACTTCCCAAGCACAGCCCTGGACTTAGCGCATCCAGAAGGCCAAGGAAGAATAGAAAGCTCGCAATTGCAATTTTCCTGAGACATTGCCTTTGAACAAACCAGATTACTTCCGCGCTTCTTCAGCTCTGTAGCCCGCGATTCGGACTAGTTACTCGAGCAAACAGTAACGACTAGATTTTATATGTCATCAATATCACATGTTTTTAGAATTTTTCAAAGTAGTGGTTTGATGGACATATAGCTGCTTGCAAAATACCAATATCTACCATAAGAGAAGGAAGGAATAGCCTTATCAAAATCAGAAAAGAACTTGTATTCCTTGCGGTATACTAGGTTGAGTGCTCTCTTTTTGATTACCCTGTGTTCTCCAAAACGCCTAGAAGTATTGTGCTAGCACAGAAAGATTAGCTTAGCTTAGAAAATAGCTATATTTTTCTATCACATTTTCGAAAACAAACAAATCTTTCCTTTAAAAAAGACTTACGGGTAAGTAGCCAGTAGTGAGCTGATAGCAACACGTGCGTACGCTCCAACTGAAAACTGGTTGCCTACCGTAAACCTATCGTACCCAGACACATTTATATATATCAAAAAATGCGCGATGTCTGAGTGAGTTGAATTGGATTCCCGAGTTCTGCAGAAAACCATTTCCGCGGAGGCGGATCCTGTTGGCGGTATCTGGTATCCTTATGTAATACTAGCTGGCTTACACGGCTCCGCCGTATGTTCCGAATAGAAAATTCCATTTCTTAACCGATCCGGACCAAACTTGGCACACATACACTTCGGGCCCCGGCGGGTGTCACAGTCCACTTTTCGTTATCGATCGATGTCGATTTTATCGATTTTTTGCAAAATTTGAGCTAGGGGGCTGGAATTTGGCAGAGGGGTGTAATGCTGATCACCCCCACGGGGGTGATCAGCATGCTCGATTACCCCCCTGTGCCAACTCCCAGCCCCGTAGCTCAAATTTTGCAAAAAATCGATAAAATCGATATCGATCGATGACGAAAAGTGGACTGTGACACCCGCCGGGGCCCGAAGTGTATGTGTGCTAAGTTTGGTCCCGATCGGTTCAGAAATAAAAATTTCTATTCGGAACATACGTACATACAGACATACATACAGACATACAAACAGACATTCAGCTTTATATATAAGATTTACAGAGCTTGATTCGAGAAGCTGCAGCATCTTCATAGGGTGGAAAATCTAATTGCAATTTACCACTGCTGTGATAGAAAAGCCAAAATATAGACAACAGTTTTCTATAGATCTATTGCGATGTTGCCAGTCGAAACGCAGACTGTGGAAAATGCGTCCACCATCCGTTGTCCCATTTCACGGTACAGCACAACCTCAAATTTACCTGCAAAGATTCCGGATAAAATCTAAGTGTTTTTGTGTCCGTTGCCTTACCTCCGTCACAGTGCCTTTCATGAATTGCATTTCATGCTTCACGAACACAAATTCTTCATCGTTTTGTGAAGTGGTGAGTTTACAATAAGATCTCGACAACACACGAACTCCCACTTGGGATCCGCAAATTTCGCAGGGGTATGCTTTCTCACGAAAGCAGAAGCGTTCGTACCTTATAGAGAGACTGCTATTTGGTTTACCCTCTGTCTCATCCAAAGTGAGCACAAAGCGGCTCTGGTTTTGCGCGGCCGCCTCCCTCGTGATTGCACCGCGGTCGCGAACGTGTCCTTTAACACGCTTCGGACCGGTGCTGCACATGGTGCAGCACGCTGCTTCGAAGGATCATTTTGTCGCTTACAGAAGGGTTTCTTTTAGTCTAAGGTTATCAAGTCAAAGGTCTGAGCTCCTACTTCTCAGAAGACTCTGTAGAGCTGGGCTGCCGATATTTGTTTAGGAGATATGAGGACAAATTGACGACAGTTGCAACAAAGTGCGGCAACGCGAACGACGCGTGCGACGTCGCAACTTTTCTTTGCTTCCATTTGAAAGAGAAAAGCCGTAGTTTCAATAATGATATGTATCGCGTGCAACATAGATACTTTTGGATAGTATTAGAAACTGAGTTCTTGCTCCTATCTTATAAGAAAACAGAGAAATCCCTCCCAAGCGACAAAATTCAAACACTTCGAAATCACTCAGAACTTTGGGTATGGAGCTTATATCTGACATGCTGACTACAGGTATAGCTCACAGTTCACGAACTAAGGCCTTTTTGTTGGTCAATGGGTGAAAGCACACTCTTTTTCGCCGCGCGCGATTTCGCGGTCCGAAACGTGTTAACCATTTTCCCACGCCTGATGAACAACTGGAAATCGACTATGAGCTTTCCAACACTTAGGCGCCGGAAGATGACTAGACGACAAGTTTGCGAACGCAAATTCAAGTTCTGGGCAAGTTCCAGACGAGGCGGCCGCGAAGGACCCGAGCTGCTCGAGTCAGGCTCGCCACCAGTTGAGACAGAGGGCACAAGAAGATGATTGCATCACAA